GTAACAGTGGTATGTAGCAGGAGAGAAAGGTGGAGGGAGGAAGGTGGGGCTCTCCTGTCCACCAATGCATACAGCCAAGATTGACATACTGATAACATATTTTTTATTTCCAAAAGGTCAAAGGTGATGGATGATGGTATGGAGAAGAATCTGTGTAATCTTGTGGTGACACTTTGTAATCACTGCTTCCTGCACAGATACCATTTATCAAGCCTTTATTTACCGTACTGTCACTTTAGTATAAATTTAGAGATTCAAACAGATAACAAACAAATAAAAAACGTTTGTGGGACATACCTGGAAATCATTGCCAGTGTAAGGGAGGAAGGCGTTTACTGGCTGATTATCCTAACTAACTGCTCATGTGATCCTTGCCTACCTGTGCTTCTGGTTCAGAGGATAATCAGGGGAAATGTTACACCACTTTAGCCGAGACAACAACTTGTAATGCTGTTTAAAGTCCTACTTTCATTCAACATGGAATCCTTTCAACTGTAAATAATTGAAATTAGATTTGTAAACAGCATCTAGTCATGTATATACTGAGGTCCTATTCATACCGAGGCTAATAATCTTCTACCTGTAATTGTTAAATCAAATGATATGAAAAAAATCCTATAGGAACAGGTTTAAAACCAAATATTTCTTCATAAACAAACAGGCACCAGCATTGTGTTTGATTGGTGGGATTTATTGCAGTTGAGGTATACAGGTTCACTAGTACAAAGGCACTTACTCAGTACAGCTCAACTGTTGTATATATCACCTTGGGGGACCTTGGTATCTGCTCCATGTATCTTTAACCCAGATATCTCTACTGCTCACTAACCAGTGTTACTGGCCATGACCTCAAATGACCTTGACTAACTACTGACCTAAGGTCAGTTGGTCAATATTACGATTAATTTATATCCACATCCCAATGGTGACATTTTGTTTCTTTTTCAAATCAATAAAAATGGTATAATTTGAGTCCAGTTTGTTGTTTGTTTGAGCCCCAGTGAACACCTTGAACCTTTGATTTCCTAAATCAATAAGAGTATGCCTGTCTCAGTTGCCTATGACATAGCCACCAAGTTCCTGCACTGCAGTGTGACTGACAGATCAACACTGCTAGTACTCAGCACCTCGTCAGCATCCACTACTAACAAAAATCCTCATAAATACATCTTAACACTGCTTTTCTAACTACTTCCAAAATTTATGGGAAAGTTTACAGACATGCAAGTTTTTAGAATTTAGCTTCCCCCCAACCCCCAAAAAAGAAATTTTATTAAAGAAAGAAATGTAACAAGAGATCATGTTTTTTAAAGAGTCTGTTGCCCCCAGCTGTCTTGGTATGATAACAAAGGGATACACAGGTAAACTGTGTTACACCATAACTGTTAATAACAACCACATCCTATTACAACAATACATGTATGCCATTCCAATCTTTCATTTTTCTTCAATAGAGAATTCTGCAAGAAATTGATTAATGTTGTACAAGACATAAATGACATGAAATGTTATGTTTTCATGTGAGGAAGCTACAAGGGCGAGGTGTGATAGAGGCAGATATAGAAGGCAAACCACAGGGTAATGGATGGTGGCCCGGACAAACACTTTTTGTTGTACCAGATCTAGACAGGAGAGTTGGCTTGCCTATCATGTGACCCACAGCGGCAGTTACAGAGATAGGGAAGCCGGATAATTGAGTAGCAATTTGCTGCCGCCTGCTATAAACTCCTCACAAGCTGTGTTACCAACTATGTATACCGATATAGCAGGGGACATTCACTTACTGCAGTAGCCAACAAGTGCACACTTCACAAATTGCAATGAAACAAAAAATAATGAAAATGGATTTCTTATGTAGTACATAAAGGATAGGATGTCTCATTACCCACAAAGGTATAACAGTTATGAACAGATACATTACACACATCCTTCTGTGAAGATTTATAGCGGCAGAAATATTAACAGAAACATAACACAGATCCTTCCGGGAAGATTTACAACACTATACAACTTTACACATATAATGTACAGCAGCTTTGAAACACAATGAGAAAACAGAATCATTGCTACAATTTATTTCTCTTCACATAGGAAAATCTAATCTGACAATTGGAAATACTGAATTTCAGGATTACCAGTAAAATCGTGTAATGAATCTCAAATCATTGATTTCATAGTCACTTATACTGATTCTGCAGTATAAGTTTTACTGTTGTTTACTGCAAGAACAACTGTTACTTAAAAAACACATTACTGTTGTCAGCAATCACTATACTGTCTTACTGTTGTCAGCAATCACTACACTGTCTTACTGTTGTCAGCAATCACTATACTATCTTACTGTTGTTAGCAATCACTACACTATCTTACTGTTGTCAGCAATCACTATACTGTCTTACTGTTGTCACCAATCACTACACTGTCTTACTGTTGTCAGCAATCACTTTACTGTCTTACTGTTGTTAGCAATCACTACACTATCTTACTGTTGTTAGCAATCACTACACTATCTTACTGTTGTTAGCAATCACTATGCTGTCTTACTGTTGTTAGCAATCACTACACTATCTTACTGTTGTCAGCAATCACTACACTATCTTACTGTTGTTAGCAATTACTACACTGTCCTACTGTTGTTAGCAATCACTAGCAATCACTATACTGTCTTACTGTTGTCAACAATCACTATACTGTCTTACTGTTGTCAACAATCACTATACTGTCTTACTGTTGTCAACAATCACTATACTGTCTTACTGTTGTCAACAATCACTATACTGTCTTACTGTTGTCAACAATCACTATACTGTCTTACTGTTTTTAGCAATCACTATACTATCTTACTGTTGTTAGCAATCACTACACTGTCCTACTGTTGTTAGCAATCACTATACTGTCTTACTGTTGTCAGCAATCACTATACTGTCTTACTGTTGTTAGCAATCACTATACTGTCTTACTGTTGTTAGCAATCACTATACTGTCTTACTGTTGTTAGCAAGCACTACACTATCATACTGGTTTTTTATTTGTGGAAAAAAAACCACCAGAATATCTTACTTTTAATAGTCAAACTAAGACCAGAATATCTTACTGTAGTTAATAGTCAAACTAAGACCAGAATATCTTACTGTTGTTAATAGTCAAACTAAGACAAAAATGTCTTACTTTTGTTGAAATAGTTCGATATTTGTTAACAACAATAACTAGAACATTTTATGATATTTGTTAACAACAATAACTAGAACATTTTATGATATTTGTTAACAACAATAACTAGAACATTTTATAATATTTGTGAAAAATGGAAAACTAGTGTCTCGTATCGCTGTTACTTTTGGAACATTACCAGAAAATCTTACTGCTGTTATGAGTGAATCGGGAAACACTAAAATAATTTAAAGTTGTTATTTTTGAACAACCAATTCTAGAAAATCTTACTACTGTTATCAGTGAAGCCCAAGACAGTAAATATTTTACAGATGTTATGTATGAACAACAAAGATCAGGAAATATTACTAGTGTTAAAAGTGAAGTGCGAAACACTATATACCTTACAATTGTTATTAGAACAACAAACATCTAACTAACTACCTTAAATGTTTGCATACCTAATAAATAGTAGAGTTCTGTTTGAGTTTCTTTTTCTTTTCGGCTGGGGAGGAAGAGCCTAGAAAAGTTAATGCTTAAGTATATTTTGTACAGTTCTGAAATCTCAGTACAACATGTTTCTGGGATTCTAATAATTTTCAACTCTCTGTCACAAACAAAATGTTTTCCTGGCCTTTGTTATTCTATTATGAACTTATCATTATGAAACTTGTAAATACAGTTCTGAACTCTATCACTACAAGCCAACAAACCACCTATTTGTATCGTTCTGAACTCTCAGAATGAAACCCTTTAGTTGTCTGAGGTTTGGATAATTCTGATTTCTGTCAGTAAGGAAGCAAATAACCGTCACAGATTTGTATAAATCTGAACTCTATCATTATAGAAGGAGCAAACTTGTCTCAGATTTGTATAAATCTAGAATATATCAGTACAAAAGCAAATAACCGCCTCAGCCTTGTATAATTCTCAATACAGAAGCAAATAGTTGTCTAAGATTTGTATAATTCTAAACTCTCCAATGTCAATTTAACCTCACCAATTATTGGATTTTTTCCACATGAAATCTGCGTAGGAATTGGTACATCAGGAAGTTGAGGCTGGATACCCACTAGATCCTCTGTTATTGATTTGTCTTCTGCGGTAAATAAACTTGTAAGATGCGTTCTTAAGATTAAAGTCCTGAAATATTACCTAAAAAAGGCAAATGCTTGATTTCCTGTTAGAGTACAGCTTTATTGCCCCCAAAGGCTTTTGCATGCTTTAGAAAACCTCACGAAATGTAAGCAAGCACCATTCGGTATTGGTTGTATTCAGATTTTTAATTCTATCATGTTTTCCTATCTTCTATGTCTTTTATTGAATTCTGTAAATGTGCAATTTTCAAGAATGTACTCTTTTACTGCATGCAATAATTTTTAAGAAGAATATTATTTGTTCCTTCAGATGTTAAAATAGTTGCGTAAGGAGGAGGTCACTGTACGACAGTGTCTTTCAGCACAAGTTATAGTTGTACATGTAAAATTCTAAATATAAAAGTTAAAAAAAATAGAGATATGTTTGAAGTTAGATTATAACTACAGGAATGAAATCACCTAAGTATTAAACAATATCAATTACAAAATATATACAATACACACTTTACAGAGGTTTGTGTGAGTACTAGCTAAGTTGGTGAGGAATTTGACTTTTAGGGGGAAGGAGGGGCAGTATGAGTCAATGACCAAGGGGCTATTCATGATAGAGGTAGTACAATGTATGATATATGTAATATCTTTCAAAGTTAACAAGGATTTCAAATCATCATCAACAATTTGATTTTGCAGTAAGAGCAGAGATTATGAGTGATATAAACATGTTTTTTTGTAACATATTTTTTTCCCTTACAGAACTCTACTGAAGCCTTCCTCCAAGTAAAGGGACACAACTAAAAATACCAGGAAGATCTGAGGTAGGTGTGTAACGTGTATAACAGGTAGATATTGTCAGTACAACCTGTCCGGTCTACAATGTACAATAGTGTAGGCAACATCCCATCACCCAACTCTCGGCCATTCAGCTAACCTGTCAGGTCTACCTTTACTGTGTACATCATTCTCTTCCTGCTTTTCACCATCCTACATGTATGATACCATCCTTAAATACTGACTGCTTGATCCATACCTAGGATTCTTGTCCATTACCCCGCTCACTTGATTCCTGTTCTAAACAAACCTATGATTCCCCTGTGCCATCACTGTCCCATTTTGTTCCTCATCCCATCATGTATCCCCCTCCAACCAAATCTTTCCTCCCATAACAGCCACTCCATTCTCCCTCATGGCAACTTAGAACCAGACATAACAACCAACGGAATTGTTTTACCCTGTCACACAACAAATAAGAAAACATCAACAATCACTGTAATCACCATCAACCTGCTATATCAGTGTAACAGGTAAAACACAGCACCATCAACCTGCTACATCAGTGTAACAGGTAAACACAGCACTATCAACCTGCTATATCAGTGTAACAGGTAAACACAGCACTATCAACCTGCTACATCAGTGTAACAGGTAAAACACAGCACCATCAACCTGCTATATCAGCGTAACAGGTAAAACACAGCATCATCAACCTGCTATATCAGTGTACCAGATAAAACACAGCACCATCAACCTGCTATATCAGTGTAACAGGTAAAACACAGCATCATCAACCTGCTATATCAGTGTACTAGATAAAACACAGCACCATCAACCTGCTATATCAGTGTAACAGGTAAAACACAGCACCATCAACCTGCTATATCGGTGTAACAGGTAAAACACAGCACCATCAACCTGTTATATCAGTGTTACAGATAAAACACAACACCATCAACCTGTTATATCAGTGTTACAGGTAAAACACAACACCATCAACCTGTTATATCAGTGTTTCAGGTAAAACACAGCACCATAAAACCTGTTTTATCAGTGTAACAGGTAAAACACAGCACCATCAACCTGCTACATCAGTGTACTAGATAAAACACAGCACCATCAACCTGTTATATTAGTGTACTAGGTAAAACACAGCACCATCAACCTGCTACATCAGTGTAGTAGGTAAAACACAGCACCATCAACTTGCTATATCAATGTACTAGATAAAACACAGCACCATCAACCTGCTACATCAGTGTACTAGGTAAAACACAGCACCATCAAATCTGCTACATCAGTGTACTAGGTAAAACACAGCACCAACAACCTGCTACATCAGTGTACTAGATAAAACACAACACCATCAACCTGCTACATCAGTGTACTAGATAAAACACAACACCATCAACCTGCTACATAAGTGTACTAGATAAAACACAGCACCATCAACCTGCTACATCAGTGTAGTAGGTAAAACACAGCACCATCAACTTGCTATATCAATGTACTAGATAAAACACAGCCCCATCAACCTGCTACATCAGTGTACTAGATAAAACACAACACCATCAACCTGCTATATCAGTGTAACAGGTAAAACACAACACCATCAACCTGTTATATCAGTGTACTAGGTAAAACACAGCACCATCAACCTGTTATATCAGTGTACTAGATAAAACACAGCACCATCAACCTGCTATATCAGTGTACTGAATGAAACACAGCACCATCAGGTCTATAATTGTCCAGAACTGTTTAGCAGTATAATACACCTGAGTGAATTTATCTTAATGTGATAAAACATTCAATTACAGACTAAATGTGTTACGTCAAAATTGATGAACTATTTGGAATAGAGGAATATTTGAATGTATATATAGTTACCAGGTCTACAAAAAACTTTTATTCTCAAATTTTGCAATGATTACAAACAAATATTTACACAACAAACATTTTTCAGTACTGTGTGAAACAGCATCATTTATAATCTAATGATCCAAATCCTGTAAACACACACTGTCACTCACTGCATCATCATATCCTGCCCTGATGGTAATCGTGGCATAGGCAATTTATACTGCATAGAGACCTAACTATGTAACAATTACAATCAGCTGATTGCCTAATTATATAGCTAATTGATCCGAAAGCAGGAAGTGGTAACTTGAGTGACAACATTCTGGTTTTATGCAGTGTTTGACAGTTCCATAGTGGGGCACACTTCCACATAATCATAGCTGTTCTGTGTTTATTTAGGTTGGCGAGAAATGTTCTAATGTGGAATTAAGTTGTTAGAATTGTCATAACTGGCATGTGGAAGACATAACATGTAGTTAGGGCAACACTGGTGCTCATGTACTACATACTGATGGTGTTCTTGGCTAAACCTCATCAACTGCTAATGGAATACACACAAATCATACGTTATAATTAAGAAAGGGTCTCTCATTATTTAATGACATGCTTTTGAAAAAAAATATAATGTAATATCACTTGACAAAGCAGTTAACTGCTGTTTGTAACAACATCTGCAGGTTTGCTTGCTATGCTCACAGCCATATACATCAGATGACAGGTTCTGTGGTTCACAGTTATAATAACATTATCAGAATTGGCTTAAGGATTCTGAAGAAAAATATTAATTGTTTGAAACAAAAATCCTACTTCTCATGGACAATGTAGGTGACTGTACTTGAGTACGCTTGGACAACTTGGACAACGGTTTAACAGACACTGTGTATGTAAGGGGGGTTTAGTAGGTAGGACTAGAGTTCCCTTGACCATCAGTAACACACTGAAGAGGAATTAGAATTAAGCATTTTACTGTGAAGCGGTAAACTATTCTTTATTAGTTGTTCAGCAGTAGAAATCTGTGATAGATACAGGCTTTTACCTTCACTTTGTGTTTCCTAAGCTCAGGCTTTTCTCCTGACCTTGAGAATGACCTCCAGATATATTATCAAGTTTATGTTATATTTCTCCTTTAAAATATAACTAAATTGATAAACATATGTAGTGCTAAGAGAATACATACTGGTGATCCTAGTAAGTGTTTACTAGGACAGTTAAAGCATATACAGACAAATAAATTTCTTTTGATAAAAATGGCTAACAAATGGAAAGGATAGATATAAGAGATAAAAAAATACCACCATGAAGGGCAATAGCGGAGACTGCCATAAAGAAACAATCCGAGACATTCGTAACTACTTATCTTTACAAAAATACACTCCAATAGGCTAGTCTATAAATCCTCATGTTCAAAGACAGAATATTTACTTTGAAAAGAGAAGTCGAAAACACCTGAGCGATATATATCAAATGACTCTCCCAGGTAACACCCAGACAAAGTGCACAGGTGGAAAATGTGTGCCCTCTCCACCTCCAGTGAAACACAAAACATAAAGTAGTTAGAACCCATCTGATCTTTACCTGCTGCCGCCTAATTGTCTGCTTCATCACTTAAAAGTAGTAAATACAATCTATAGCTACACTGCTATACATCTATACAAATGTAGTGGTAAATATAATCTATAGCTGCACTGCTATACATCTGTACAAATGTAGTACTAGATACAATCTATAGCTATACTGCTATTCATCTATACAAATGTATTAGTAAATATAATCTATATCTACACTGCTATACATCTATACAAATGTAGTAGTAGATACAATCTATAACTACACTGCTATACATCTGTACAAATGTAGTAGTAGATACAATCTATAGCTACACTGCTATACATCTATACAAATGTAGTAGTAGATCCAATCTATAACTACACTGCTATACATCTATACAAATGTAGTAGTAAATATAATCTATAGCTACACTGCTATACATCTATGCAAATGTAGTAGTAGATACAATCTATAGCTACACTGATATACGTCTATACAAATGTAGTAGTATATACAATCTATAGCTACACTCCTATACGTTTATACAAATGTAGTAGTAGATACAATCTATAGCTACACTGCTATACATCTATACAAATGTAGCAGAAAATATAATCTATAGCTACACTGCTATACATCTATACAAATGTAGTAGTATATACAATCTATAGCTTCACTCCTATACATCTGTACAAGATGTACTACGACAGAAAATATTTCTTGTATACTTATCAACTGTCAAATATCTCACTGTTAGTACCTGTCTCAAGGGTAAGACAAATAAGATATGTAAATGTGATATTCACTTAGGTTGGTCACATCAAAAGGATATCACATTACAACTTCACCTAGGTTAGTCACATCAAAAGGATATCACATTACCACTTCACTTTGGTTAGTCACATCAAAAGGATATCACATTACCACTTCACTTAGGTTAGTCACATCAAAAGGATATCACATTACCACTTCACCTAGGTTAGTCACATCAAAAGGATATCACATTACCACTTCACCTAGGTTAGTCACATCAAAAGGATATCACATTACCACTTCACCTAGGTTAGTCACATCAAAAGGATATCACATTACCACTTCACCTAGGTTAGTCACATCAAAAGGATATCACATTACCACTTCACCTAGGTTAGTCACATCAAAAGGATATCACATTACCACTTCACCTAGGTTAGTCACATCAAAAGGATATCACATTACCACTTCACCTAGGTTAGTCACATCAAAAGGATATCACATTACCACTTCACCTAGGTTAGTCACATCAAAAGGATATCACATTACCACTTCACCTAGGTTAGTCACATCAAAAGGATATCACATTACCACTTCACCTAGGTTAGTCACATCAAAAGGATATCACATTACCACTTCACCTAGGTTAGTCACATCAAAAGGATATCACATTACCACTTCACCTAGGTTAGTCACATCAAAAGGATATCACATTACCACTTCACCTAGGTTAGTCACATCAAAAGGATATCACATTACCACTTCACCTTGGTTAGTCACATCAAAAGGATATCACTACCACTTCAATTGGGTAAGTCACATCACATGGATAAACATCACACTAGCACTAAGATTAAGTAAGTCATATTAAATACACTAC